ATAAAATATTAATATTTCTACCACAATAAGATATAAAATTTACTATGTATATATTAATATTTTTTAATCAGAGAAACTCTTATAAAATTCTTTCAATACCATCATTCGTTTAACGATTGCTATAATTTTCAGAGTAAATTCTAAAAAAAAATTCTCTTCGTACATGTATACTAATTATTAGTCTGGTTTTTCGGGTTTGGAAGTAACATTTCTCGAATGTCAAATGTCATAGCTGATTTATTTCGTAAATTATAAATGATTACGAAGAACACGAAGAATTTTCCGCGAAGTGAAATACAAAGAAACGAACACGAATCGCAAAATCTATTAAATTATTCGTTAAATATCAAACTGACTTTATTTCTAGACAAATTAATACGATAATTATCTTCGTTAAGGGAGACTTAATTCCAAGTGGTTCAGAGAAATTCATGATTGGCCAGATCGTTTTAGCCCTGCTTCTATATTATTAGATTTTCTAGATTTTACATCAATTTGATTTGACTTTATTCGAAGGTGACATATTTGGTAGACTTGGAGTTTCAGCGAATGTCTCGGCATCTCGGTTGCCGTTATCGACTAATATAATCGCCACAGCAGAATTACCCGATATCTAATTAATCACGGGCTTTGCCTCCTACGACGGACGGGAAATCACGTCGACCTCCTCTGCTCTATCTCTCTCTCTTTTTTTCTTTCTCGCGTCACCTAACGCGCGGTCGGTCTCGTCTGCGATCGATTTACATTACTGAGGAGTTTTTAGGGTCGCAGGGAAAATATTTGCGCGGGGAAACCGGAATGTCGTCGTCGGTAAACCAAGAGCTTCGCGGATTCTGATAAAATCAATCTCGTGAAACAATATGTCTTTTACATCCGATTCGATATCCTTTACCCTTATCGATCATAATCTATATATGATGACAATTTCAGCGTTGCTCATTAAGAAACTTTATCGATCTGTTTTGAGAACTTTGTCAACTCCGGATGTTTAGTTTTACTCCGATCAATATTAATATTAATATTTATCTTATAAAATTTTTAATTACTCTAAATAATCTAATGTCTTATGGTGCGTGTTATAGATATGATATTAATTCTATTCTCTTATTTTAATTATTAAAAAGTATTTTGTACGTGAAGTATTTTACTCATCAAGTTAAACTCCGAATGTTTAATTTTACTCTGATCAATATTAATATTTACCTTATAAAATTTCTTATATAATTACTCTAAATAATCTAATGTCTTATGGCGCGTATTCTAGATAAGATATTATTTCTATTCTCTCATTTTTATTATTAAAAAGTATTTTGTGCGTAAAATATTTTGCTCATCAAGAGTTAAACAAACGTGACGCGGTTTTGTGCGTCGTACAATATTTGAATCGATATCCGGCATATATTTTTTTTTTTTTCGAACAAGACACCCAGTATTATTTCAGGGAATACAGGGGTGCACGACCTAGTTACGGTTGGGCGTGTTATATGGGTCATAGACAACATTCGCACTCGGTTGCACGTGCGCGCGCACACATTCACGCGTGTGTCGACTGTGCTCTGGTTCACGGGACTAGTAATTCACGAATGTGGGACGAGAGGGTTTTGTTTGTTACACCTCTGCTTTCGCCGTTTTCGCGAATTAATAAGATGCTCCGTCGAGATACCTAAAGACATAGATACCTGTCTTTCTCCTGGGAGAGAAATTTTGTAGAAAAATCCGTGACACAACTAATCTTATTTTTTTCATTTGCATGTAAGTTGCAAATTTGCACACAAACGAAATGATATTCTTGAACACAAAAACTTGTTTGCTTTTATATGGAAATTATATCTATTTTGCTGCGCTTGTTGCGCGAGAAAAAAAGCAACAATAGTGACGTTTTCGCCGCTCAGCAGGATTGAAAATCTATCGACAACTGGCAAATATCGGAGAACATGATTGTGACAGGGAATTAGATTTGAATGTTCGTCGATAATTTTGATTCAAAGCAAACATAAATTTCTGCCTTATTGCTTCATACAAAATATTCTTATTATTTATTTTTTAAAAATGTAGACCTTCTAATTTCTCCAAATAATTTATCGCACATAAAAATAATATGAAGAATAATGAAACCTTTAGTAAAAAAAAAAAAAAAAAAAAAATTATCCGAGATTAGCTCCGTTTTTGGATGTTGAAGAGAAATGTCAATTTCTCATTTTTCTCGCATGATAATGAGACAAATTCGCTTAACGAGTAGTAATAACGTCTATAGGGCAGACATTTACATTTTGTCGAATCAACTGGCAGGGGAACGAAAATTCCGCCGACACGGTCCTTTTCTAGACCAAGAGTTCCTCGATGTACCATATACCGGGTACACGCGCGCGCACGCGTGCATACGTCCCTCTACAACGTTCCTTCTCACTCCTTATCTTTTCCACACCGTTATCACCTATCTCCATCCTCCGTCACTATTTTCCGCGCTTCGCCATCTCCTTCCGATCTCTCCATCTTCCTCTCGCATCTCTTTCCTCCGGCGCTCATTGGCAATAGCGATGTCTTTGTTTTCTCTTCCTCGTCGCTTCTTCTGTTATCGGATTTCTCCTATCTTTATCGTTCTCTCGTCACGATTCCGCTTCTATATCGAAATAGAGTGAGAAAGATACAGAGAGGGAAGGGGAACACAGATGATCTTCCTTCTCTCCTCGCTACTGTAACTACGTCACCTTTTCCCTCCCTTTCTCTCCATCTCCGTCTCGCTCGCTCACCCTGGCTTCGCGACACTCTCGTTCCCTCCGACGTGCCACCCACCCCCTTGCCGCTCTTCGTCGACCCGGGTGAACCGCGCGTCGCGCGCGCCTCTCAGTCTCTCGCGCAAAGCGGTCCCGCGGCGACGCGATATTGCATTCGACAGATTGCGGCTGGTCCAGGTTCTTCTCTTTCCTCTCTTCATCCGTCGAATCGCGTCTCGTTTCGCATCTTTCGTCTCTCGTCTCTTTCCTCCGTCGTTTCCTCTTTCGGGTTTCCTCTTTTTTTCCCCATTTCTCTCTCTCTCTCTCTTTTTCTCGCCCTGATCCCAGCGAGCTCGTGGAACGTCACGGTACACACAGGAGAAAAGAAACGTGGCAGCACATCGGATTCCGCGCGCGAGGAACGCGATCGGTCGGAGCTAGAGGGAGAGAGAAGCAGAAGCGTTCTGCTATTTTCGAGACGCCGCGGAAGCTTGCCAAAACGTGCCGCCTTCTCGGGTCCGAGAGGAACCAGCGACGAGAGAGTAATCGCGACCGGAAGGTCACGCGGCGATCCGCATTTCCGCTCGACTGATCCTCGAGAGATCGTTGATCGATCGGTCGATCTTTTTTGGGAATCGTTCGGGGACGATTATGTATATAATATTAATATGTACGATTTTCGGTGATTTTATCAAGAATTTATCCCGAGAGCGAGATGCGATAAGGAGGATTAGAATATGTTGTGATAATCCCGGACTCGTGCCCGGGAATAGTTCTCGTCGATAATTCTAGTGCCGTTTCAATCTAGCTTGGTCCGAATCGACAGAACCGTATCAGCTGATTAATTAATTCCGTCTCCTTCTCTCCTGACCTCCCCCGCAAATGAAATTCGGTCATTCGAAGTGTCGTATATAAGAGACGATGGGGAACCGTCAGAGAAAATTAGATGCTCGGCCGTGTTAATCTCGAAATAGCCGTCGTCACGTTTACACTTTTTGCCATAACGCAACCATCGTGTATCTCTCCGGTGAAGATTTTCGGTGTCCGTCATATTTTCCCGCTCGTGGCAAAGGACGACTATATATCTTATACGAGCGCTTTTACGAGCGAGACGCGACCCACGGGGATTCCCTCGGCGATATATAGTCGGACAACGAGGAAAAAAAAAGAAAGAGAAGAAAATCCACACCTCCGATCGACGAATAGCCTCGATCGGCTTTACGAGGCCGACCACGTTTATCGGCTGTAAAACGCACGCGGCTGGCCGATAGCGCTCCGGAAAATCACTTTACTCGAGACGAGATATCGCGAATATCGAGAGGAAAAAGGGATTCGACGGAGGAACGAGACGCGATTTAATCACGAGCAAAATTTCGCGTTAATTTGATCTCGGTCGATTTTTAACGCAAACGCGAGGAATTATCCTGTAAATCTATACGCGGAAAAAATTTTTCAGACGCGATCGAGTTCGATCGATACAGGATACATAAGTGCGAGAGTTCGGCTGAATGAAGACCAGACGGGAATAGATGAACGATGTGCGCGGCGATTGATAACCATTGAGTACGCAGGAAACGTCGAGCACAAGGACGTGAAAGAAATAAAAATAAAAAAAGGAAAAGAGAGAGAGAGGACAAAGAGGGAAAAAGGGGGAAATGTGACGTGCGACTGATCGATTGCGATCGAGAGTGGCTTGTGATCGACTCGTCGCGGTCGAGAATGGAAGATAAATTTACCCGCGTCGCGAGAGGAATGCGGCAGAAGCGACGAGGAAGAGTGTACACGGGTGCTCGCATTTCCGGTTTAAATTTAACGCGATGATTCGCGCGCTTTCGCAATTAATTATGGAGACTACCGAACTTAACTGGAGGTTTGTTTGGACAGAGAGAGGGAGAGGGAGGGAGAGAAAATTATCTTTATCACCTGGCTTATCTGTGAATTTGCGAAACTGACGATTATTATTATTATTTTCGCCTTTTTGCAATCTTTGAGCAACTCACCGTGTGTTTTTATATAAACTCACAATTTAATTAAAATTTTATTAGACTTCCGGAATTCAAAGGAGATTGAAAATTTCCGTTAACTCTAATTAATATTCGTGAGAATGTCCTGCTACGGCGATTAATTTAATCAATTTTGCTGGGAGCGTTAGATAATATTGCGCAAAAATTAATAATATTTAACTGTGTTAGCATGTTGATACCCGAATGTCACACGTGTTATTAATATATATATATATATATATATATATATATATAATATTGTTTTATCCACACGTGGAATATTTATCACTTTATATTTTATGCCCGGCACAATTATTGTAAATATATATTAGCGATCGAGTCAATTTCTCGAATATTGGAATATTCATGCTCGGGTGGATTTATTAAACTCTCAATGATGACTCAAAACATCGCGTATCAATAAGTGTTAATTATGCCCGAATATATGTCATAAAATTTATTCGCGACGATTACGTATGTAACGATTTCGTAATGCTATTAAAACACATCGCATGATAATACCGCGCTCTCGTAATAATTTTCGTTACGCGCGACGCATAATAATGCGCCGACAATAATTATTATAATAATATTTTCGAACCGTGTACAATTGTCACACGCGCTCGTAAAGTAACTCCATCATTTAATAATCGAACGGCGGACAAATGACTCATGGCGTAACGCTGACCTATAGAGAAGCTCGTGATTCATAGCTCACCTTTGCTACATAATAATTATCGGGGACTTTATGTAAAGATACGATAACACAGTGTAGCTTCTGTTGATGATTGATAAGAGACAATTTTTTCCTTTGTGATTTCTTTTTTCTAACAAGTGCATCATTATACGTTTAATTTCTCTTCTTCGTATCAAGTGAGGCGTTGGAGGTCGCTACACCAGCAATTACGCGAATTTATTTAAAAATAGCGTGATATTTCGCAAAGATTTCACGATAACTCGGTAAATATGTGTACACGACGTCTTGTCATGCTGTTACATCTACGTGATAAATTGAATTTTACGAGTCAATCGATTAAACCGAGTCATTAAGCCTGAGTAATCACGCGAGTTCTCTAAAGTATACACAGAGAGAGAATTTTCTTTTCTTTTTTTTTTAGAATATCCTGGAAATCGTGGTAATCGTAGGACAATATGGTGTTGGAAGAATTTCTCTGATTAATATTTACCACAATAAAAATTAATCGAACATATTTTATATCTTATTGTGCTAGATGTTAATATCTTACAATACCATATTGTGCCACAATTACCATGATTTTCACGGTAAATTCTAAGGGAAAATTCTCTCTGTATATAAATTGGGCTTATTTTAAATTAATTTTAAATTAATTGAACTTAATTAAAAAGAAAATTATTAAATATATTTAAAAATAAAAATTCTTTTCTTGGCAATTTTGATTAACTTGAAATATCTCTCGCTTTTCATTATATTGTTAAATTTTCCACGACCGCGTGTCTCACGTTTTTCTCTTTCTTTTTCCTTTTTTTCGCACGAGATCGTCACGAGCGTGTTGTGTTTGCTTACAGTGTGTACAATGTCGGAAGGTGGACGTGCAGTGATCTGGCTCCTAGTATCAGCCCTTCGAGCTGCACGTCACCCGAAAGATTCACGTACTAACTACTAATTGCACCTGCGTGTCGAACTCCCTCCCCTTATCAGTTGCAGGATACTGCACCCCGTAACCCCATGACGCATTTAACACATGGCTCGCCTGGAGAGTAAGTGCCTCTTTCACTCTGCCCGCAATTTTTCCGCGCTTTTCTTCGTCGATTCCGGTCGCGGTGTTGTAATTTACTGCATACGTACACATACATACATACGTGCTTGAACACGCGCACATCGATGCGGAAGGGAAGTGAAACGAACGGAAATCGCGTATCGGAAGCACCATAGTTCCGAGTTTACGGCTAATAGTGAGGCGGATCGTTCGTCGATATAAGACGATGTATCGATGAATAAACCTCTTTGTTCATCAATGTTGATGAAAAAAAACTTCTGCTATAAAAATATTATATATATATCGATAGCAACTGCGCGATAGTCCTCGTAGCACAATAAAATATTTATCTCGTATTTTCTCGATTGGAAAAGCATTGATAAATAATTATTTTTTAAAGGATTGCAAGATCCATAATAAATAAGTAGCAAATAAATAAAATATATACACACAGAACCGATCTGTCAAGGCTGCCGAATGTTCCTCTTATCACAGATTCCTCGAGTGATCGATTTGGAATCAAAGCTTAATCATTAATTAAAACTTAATTATTAATTATTTGAAAACCATTTATAGCTTTTGAATAATTAACGATTAAGCTTCACTGGAGATTTTACACCCACGGATTCTTTTTTTTAAATTAAAACAATTTAACAGTTAAGATTTAATTAGCAAATATATCGCTAAAACTATAACATAACTCAAAATTATAATTTTTTAGGAGACACGATTTAAAGTTTTGACATGCAGATTCTTCTTTCTAACAATTTAACAATTTTAACAATTAAGATTTAATTAGCAAACAATATATTACTCATTTGCTGCAACAATAACATAACTCAAAAATTGTAATTTTTCAGGAGACACAATTTAAAGTTAAATAACTTTGTACGAGAATTTTAAAAGAATATCAAGATAACATGCAATAAATTAACATAATATAATTAGAAAAAATTATATAATAAATTTAATAAAATTTATTTTAATAATAAAAAAAAATAATTTTTACATGATTTTAATTTAATTTTTTTTCTTGTAAATAGTATATATGTAATAACTTTTCTCTCCGTACTAATAATTCAAAAAGAAGATGATTTTTGAATTATGCCATTATTGCAGTAACTGATATAATTATATAATATTAAAAATAAAATATCTCGTTTTCATATTGTCAAAGAATCTCGATCCATCCTATCGGAATTTTTCCTTCAGACGGGAGAGTAATGTGATTGCGGTTTACGCACTCGATATGATTCCAGTACCGAGCATAGTGGTGTATAAAGGAAGCAGGTCGCAGGATCGACCTGAGAGTCCCACGGTGGTGGTGCGAGGAGGAATGCCCTCACTGCCATCCTCCAGGCAAGGCCTCGCCATAAGTGGTGGCTCCGGCGGTGGTGCGCTTCACCAAGACGTCTTGGAGTCGGATATGATAGACGGGAATGCCAACGTCGGCACCTCCTCGGCAACGAATACGTTCCACCGTCCTCCGCCTTCTTGTCCGCCGTCCGACAAATCGGACACCGAGAGCAAAAACTTTCGCAATCGGGTGCGTGTGCCATTAATCGCTCCTAGATTATTGTCCCACATTATGCTCGTTCTTCCTCATTACGGGCTGCAAGGTACGTCTGGAAAAAGTCAGTTAAATTAAGAATTAGAAGAGCTGTAGGTAAACCAAAATTTGGAATTGTACCAATCATTGATCCATTGACTTTTTTTTTAATAAAGTCCGAATCCATGATCGTTTATACGATATTGATACGTACCATGCGCACCATCACGACAATAATACGCTCTGCCGGCCGTAAGCGAATATAACGATGATCCTTGCAGACGAACACAAAACTGAAGCTGCTGGTCAGAAGCCATGCCATGAGAGAGTCGACGTCTCCCCCGCGAGAGCCGCACAGTCCGCAATCGGCGGACGGTGAGAAGAAGATCGTGTGCGGCCTCTCGCCCAACTCCAACGGCGCCAAGCTCAATAACAACGAGTCCATGTTTAACAGCAATCTCGGACCCGCTCAATCCCCCAAGCAAATGCGCAACACGGCGACCTCGCCGACCTGTCGGACACCGTCGCGAAATGGTAAACGAAGGAGCCACTTCTTACGTTGCGCTTGAAAAAGATTCGAGAATTCTTCTTCATCTTTCACGGAAGAAAAATATTAACCATCATGGTTAAATTTTAATTGTTCCTATATTACATCTATTTAGATATGATATCTAATATTTTTTTCTGTGTTCAACAGGTCAATCTAGTCCCTCTCAGATACATTCACCAAAGAGCATCACCTCTCCGACTAACGGCAATAAGTTGGAGAATCATCGCTCCAAGCTCACGAGCGCGAATAACGTTCAGAAATGCAATAACTGCGTGAAGAACAATCAAAACGAGCGACCGGGTTTGCTGCAAACCCCGGTATCGCCCTCCAAGTCTGGTCAAGCGTTGCAGCACTCACCGAAGAGCACCAATCTAGCTCCGAGCGCGCAGAACAATCAGCACAAATCCGAGCAACGCAGGCCGAACACGTTGAACATTTGCAATAATCAATGCTCAGCGCAATGCGGCAACACGCTTTCGGTGAGCAGGCCCGGGTCCAGGCACAAGTTGAGACATCAGAATTCCTCTCAGGGCAGTTACGACAGCGCGTCACCATGTCTCTCACGCGGTACGTTCTTCAATGTATACAAAACTTCTTCTCGATTCCTCTCCTGATCACTTCTCGTATTATACAAGTTTTATATTATTTACAGACAGTAGCACGGAACTGTATACAGACAGCACGGGGATAGACCTGGAACTGTTCATCGCGGAAACCATAAATCGCAATCAAAAGGATCGTACGGTGCTGCTAAAGATTGAGAAGGATCTAATCGACTTTGCGAGGGACCGGCAGAAAGTTTCTCACAGATTCCCGAATATGTCGTCGTACAACAGGATGCTGGTGCATCGAGTGGCAGCTTACTTCGGCATGGAACATAACGTGGATCAGTCAGGTTTAAGTGTTATCGTAACGCGAACGAAAAACATGCGAATACCGGACACCCGCTTTAGGGAGCACATCAGGGACGACCTGATCCTGTCGGAGGAACCGCGGAGAAGTATTTTAAAACGGGACTCGAGCTCGTTCGAAGATAGCTTCAATTTCAAATCGCCAGACAGATTGTCGGGCGATTATTGTCGGCGCAGCAAGAGTTTCGAGGAGCGGGAGGAAGAGTACGAGCGCGCCAGGCGAAGGATATTTAAGGATAGCAGTGGCGAGAGCAGCGAAGTCACATCTTGGCCATGGTCCTCGTCGGAGAGTTCAGATGTCTCGGCGAGGTATCGCTTGTTACCTCCTTCCGATCACATAATGAGGTAAATTAACAAAATTTAAAAAAAGGTAAATATTGTAGGCCAACTAAACGAGCAATTAAATAAGATCTAAAGATTTATTAATAATTAAATAATTAAATTCTCATTCCGTTAGAGAAACAATATACAGCGTATACAGCGTAAACGTTTCGACTGCACTACAGTCTTTTTCAATACATAAAAATCAAATATTAAAATACAAAGTTAAATATTAAAATACAAAGTTGGTTAAACATTAAAATACAAAGTTAAACGATTCTTCGCTGATGACCAATAGATGAGTAAGACGATTGGTCTGAGATTCCAAGTTTTGCGACATTTAATCATGATTATCGTTTTAACAAGTTCTTCTTCTCGACATTTCAAGTGTGTGTTGCGTCTAAATCACAAAAAAATCACAAAAAGTTTTTTTGTGATTTAGACTTCGCAACACACACTTGAAATGTCGAGAAGAAGAACTTGTTAAAACGATAATCATGATTAAATGTCGCAAAACTTGGAATCTCAGACCAATCGTCTTACTCATCTATTGGTCATCAGCGAAGAATCGTTTAACTTTGTATTTTACCAACTTTGTATTTTAATATTTGTATATTTTTTTTATGTATTGAAAAAGACTAGTGCAGTCGAAACGTGTACGCTGTATACGCTGTATATTGTTTCTCTAACGGAATGAGAATTTAATTATTTAATTATTAATAAATCTTTAGATCTTATTTAATTGCTCGTTTAGTTGGCCTATAATATTTACCTTTTTTTAAATTTTGTTAATTTATACGAGCTTTTTATGAGGTAAATTAATTTTTATTTTCATTAATTTACGTAATGATTATAAAATTTATGAACAATTATGATATTGAAATGTAAATAATTTAAATGTCATTTCCAGGCATAATCGAATGCTAAAAGGCGAATCTTTCGACGGGAGGGATTCGTTTCGCGGCGCAGTGTTACGCCCATCCGTTTCTAAGTCATTCAGTTTTGGTGGATACACTAAAGGCATGTTGTCAAGAGGAGATAGTGTTACGTCTACGCATAGCGCAGGAGCTCGCCTCATGAAGCAAGGTAATTGCATGCAGATTTTATTAAAATCATCGACAAAGATTTAAATACAACGATGTTACATATTATTGTGTCTCGTTACGTTTATCCTATTGTAATTATAAACACTCTTGATTTAGATTCGGGGGCCAGTATGTGTTCACGTTTGAGTCCGAGTCGCTCGAGCAGTGGGTACAAATCGCAGAGTCAGCGCAGCGACGCAACGATATCGCCATCTCCGTCGCCCTCTCCTGTGCCGGCCACCATGATGACGTGTAGCCACACTCAAGTATCTAGTCAGGATCTAGCCTCGCCAGAGTCGAACGGCGGCCAGACGGTCATGTGGGCAGTCAGTAGTTTGTCGAGCGTGCCACCCGGCAGTATAATAATAAATCCACAGACCAATCAAGCGTACACGAATCCGGACGGCTCGATCTATCGCTACGATCCGGATAATCCGCCAAAGTTTTATACCATCGAGGACGAGAGGTCGTCTAACACAGTGCCATCCGCGACAAACAAGCAACAACACGCGGAACTATCCTCCGAGTCCAGAATGCCGAGCGGTAACTCCAAGAATGATGGCAAGAAGCAACAGCGTTCATCGCAATCAAAAATGAACATCGTTAGCAGCGCATCCGGGACACAAGTAACGAACACAGCGACGTCGCCGAGTCTACCGTTTACGCCGCCGCCACCGCCGCCTCCACCACCTCCTCCGCCTCCCGCTCCTGCTCCGCAGAACCCATCCATTCCTCAACAGCAGCAACAAGTGCAGCAGCAGCAACAACCACAACCACAGCAGCCACAGCCGCAGCAGCAAAGTCTAGTCAAATCGTCAACAACAATGCAGACGTGTAGTCATACTAACCAAATAGCTCAGCAATCTTACGCGACCTACATACCTACCTCAGAACCGTATAACCAGGGTGTCTATCCGCCTCCTCCCGTGGGGCAACCAACTGTGATGATGGCGCCTCATCCGACTCAGGGTCAAGCCAGTATGCAGAACGGCGGTCAGGGGGATGTTGTCTTCAACCAAAATCAGGTTTATGCCAATTATGCGGTACCTGTACATCAAGGACCAATACCACAGTCAGGGGTAAGTGTGTCTTTAGCGAATTAAATAAGAATATTACATAGACTCAGAGTGTCAACACAAATATAAATAGACTTTTCAGTTAAAGAAAGGACAGCAGAATAAAATATTATCGTTCGACATGTCGAGTAATATAATAATATGATTGACTAGGATGTGACCGAATTATCTGGATATTTCTTGGGGATGAATATCTACGATCAACGTGGCAGCGGGGACAGTCATCCGACAACTCCGCATTCTACGTATCCGCAACCGCCGCCATCTGCGAACCAGACCGTACAAAATGTGCAGACGGTACAACCGAATTATTGGCAACCATCGCCAAATCAAATATCGGTATGAAACTAAAATATTATGCAATTTCCTTTATTTTTATACCTTTATTATTCTCTACATAAGCGAAAAATGAAACTTTTCAGCCTCAACAGACTATGTACTTTATGCCTCCACCCGCAACGGCTATCTCAGTTGGTCAGAATCCAGGAGATAGGCAACAATTACAGCAACAGAGGTTTCCAACTAATTATTCCTTTAACGCGCAAACGATGACGCCTCCGAGCCAAACAAATTGTATGTTGCTCACAATTGTTACATCTTCCGCTCTCTCATTTTATTTATAATTAATATTGTTTTTTTAGCTAATTACGTTGGCAGTTACCCGGTACCTTACAATTCGATGCCGGCAGTAACCCCGACACCAGGCGACTATACGTATCAACCTCCGGTCCATATGGTTCCTACGTATTATCCGCCAGGACAGCCGGCGATGCAACCGCCGCCCGTGATGTACCGAGTACCTACACCACCAAATACGCCGACGTCCAGTCAGGTAAATTTTTTATTATTGCTAAATTATTAATATTAATATTAAACAAGATAATCCACAAAAAGAGACGCATTAACAAAATATATCTTATTTGATAAAATTGATAGATACCTGGTATGCCGTTGATGTACGTTAACTCGAGTAGTTATGCGACCCCGACGATGGTGTCCAGTGGAACGTTCGGCCATCAGGTCACTCACAACGGTACATCCCCGGCACCGCCTAGCGCATACATGACACCCACGCTGGTTCCCAATCTCGTCTTCAGACAAAACGTTCCTGTAAGGATATGACAGATAGTATACAATGACTATTTCGTTTATTTAGTTGTAAAACTATGTTTCTTACAAAAATCTTGTTAAAAAGGTCGTTTCCGGTGTTCGAGCGACGACGCCAGGTAACTCCCAGCGAGCTAGTCGGTCGCCAACTCCGGCACACGAGCTCTTCGGAGGTGGGAGCGGAGACAGAAGCGCACAACCTCAACCACGTTACCCACTGCCAATGTATCAGGGTGTCCATATCGTGCAAGGTAATTTTCAACTGCGGCGTGCGTTTATTGCAAATCATTTTTTCTTTAAATTGTCGGTTCAATGAACTTTAAACATTGCAGGGGATATGAGATTGATGCATCCTGGCGTACCAACCAACCCTCGGTTGCAGTATGCACCAGTATCATCACCGCCTGTTGTTCAAGGTTGCCCGCGACCATACAGGCCGCCCTCTTATTCATCCAACACCTCGGGGCCCGGCACGCCGACTTCCTTCGATGGCAGAAATCAGAAGATTCGCAAACAGAGGTAGTCTTGGAACTTACTTCTGTTCTCTCAGTGTGTAAAACGTTATCTTTTTTGGTTCCTGATAAATTTATGCGCTCGTGCACAACCTATTCAGGTCCAAAGTAACGTCTTTGCCACCGAGCGGCGCACGGCCCAATCTCTATCAGGCGCCTTCCATGCCATCACTCTCGTCAAACGTACCCAAAGACATCAGAGAAGGTATACAAAATTAGTAAAAAGTATTAAAGAGAAAGAGAGAGAAAGAGAGAGAGAAATTCGATGTTCGCTCAATACGTCGCTTAAGATTTAGTTACTTTCTGCTTTCATTTCGCTTATAAAGAATAAGGTGTGAACACGATTTTGACACATTCTTGTCTCCCCTTAAAAGCGAAACCTGTGGAAGACAGTATGATATAAGGTACAGAACTTTAGTATAAAATACTACACACACAGAACACAGTGTCTTCTTTATACGATAGGGGCTTCTTCACGCGTAAATTCATATTTCTCGATACTTATTTTTACATTCGTACAATAATATACTGGAAAGTAATTCCTACTTTCGTAAATTTATTTATATATTAAGCATAATTTTCATATAATTATAATGCGAATATAATTTAAATAATTACATCGAATCTTTATGGCCTTCTCTCGAATATTGTTCTGCAAGTAAATAAATTTTGATAAAAAATTATTTAGATGTTGTATAACTTTACGAAAGAAAGTAGGAAATATATCTTTTCTTTGCACATATATGTACTTCATTATCGCACTATCTGCTTAAACAGCAACGCGCACAGGATAATAGTCTCATCTGCTAAGGAAATGTTTGGAAAATTGTTTCTATCCAATTTTCACATATAATCATATCTCTTTTTTCATAAAAATATATTTTTTATTACCACTCGTAATGTGATCAGTCTGAAAATTGGAAAGATACGATTCATCTGGAATATTTTTTTGCGGATGTACATCACGATGACACTGAATGTATATTTGCACATCTTTTTTTACTGCTAATACGGTATAGTTTTCATGCTTACTATCGCACTCGACACAATGCAGACAATAATCTAATCAACTTTGTCAAGTTGACTTCGAAGAACATATTGTTCTTCTCACTCTTTCTCACGTCGACTATAACTATTAGTTTGTGCGGCGCTGTATGGATTATTTTTTCTTATAAGAAATATACTTTATTTTTATATAGACTTACGAAAACTTCTTTTCATGGGTTATAGTTAACGTATTTTCTATAAATCTTCTCTTTGTTTTACTGACATCAGTTTATTTGCATCAGAACGCGATTCACTTATATTACACATCTAAAAAAGTAATGATTTACTTCTCAAAAATAACATTTCTTTTTAGGAACGGTAAAGGTGACAATTACCCGTCGGAATCAGCTGGTACATTTTTAAGTAAGCGGATAGGATAACATCCCTGATAAAACGAATCACAGTCCTGATTATCCAACAATCGAGATTAGCAATCTACTTTATTATTCAGAGATACTATGTGTGTATATACATATATACATATATGTATATATATGCTATATTAATTATTGCTCTAAATTATTTGAAGAGAGTCAAAAACCGTTATTAGGATACAATGTATGTATACGTGTATCCTAAGTGAAAAGTAGTGGCGAAGATATATAGTATACTATAATGCGAGCGTTTGTTTTCTTTTCGGATAACACACAAAAGACAAAATTGAAATATCAGTTGAAGAACTCTTCAATCGCACTGAATAAATCTGAATTAATATGACAAAAGTACGAGATGTGGAAAATGAAAAGAACGAAATGTAATCACATGCGCGTGTCCAAACATTAAAGAAAGAGCGAAGAATGGTGCATTGAACAGAATTACTGGACAAAATTTCAAGTATTATATATATATATATATATATATATATATATATATATATATATATATTATTATTATTATTATTATACTTGAAGATATTTTAACTGCGGTTTTACAGATACTATATGAATGTAAGATATACTTTAAGGAACATTATTAAGGTCAAATAAATGCGTGAATAATTCGAGGCGGTCGTCTCGGCAATTTCCGGCCGCCAAGAGAGAATACGTACGATTATTATAATAAGCTAATGTACGAAAAGAAAAAGATATACCTTACTGAGTACGTTTACAAGGCATGCGAGTCTCTCGGCTCGATATTGAAAAAAATCGTATGATCTAAAAAAATATATATTATCTATCTATTATCTGCTAATTTTTGATACGCGCTGCCATCGCATCGATCAACGAATATTGCGTTAACGTCGCTGCCCATTCCGAGTCCATTTTTTGAAAAAAAAACAAAAAAAAACGAGTTGTTCGCTACCTCAGCATAATATCGACGAAAATTCTAAAAATTGTTCGCGCGTTGACGATGCCATTCCTGAACGCTTCTCTCCGATACGTATCTATTGTACGTGCGAAAATGAAACCCTTTACTATGCACCACGTCTTTGCAGGATATTTACATATAATTTCTATGATATATTCGAGTTTCAAAACTTTTTTATTTTATTTTACAAAACGCTGTACGGATTTCGCAAGGAAAACGAAATAATAGCTACCCAAAAAAAAGTGCAAAACTAACATTTTACACGATATTCTGTAATATTCAACTCTAGAAAAATGTTTCTAATCAATTATCATAATTCATGATTATACCAGTGAAAGCGTCACTGATTAAGTTAAGTAAGTAAATATGTAAACGTATTCAGTACACATACGGTCTCTATGTCTAGTTTCGAGTAGTAGCTAAGCAGCGAGAAACCATCACCGCCTAAAACACTATTTATATCTCATTCTTGCAGAAAAATATGACCAAAATGATTCTATTCATTTTTTTCATTTGTCGTTAATTTATTTTGATACATAACGATAAGATTGCTTCAGCTCTCATTCGTAATTAATATTCACCATAAAATTCAAAAAATATTAATCGAATTTTTTTTATACTGTTATGATTCGTCTTCCAAGTTGCTTCATGGATCTTGCGGGATCGTGTTCTCTGTTATTCCAATATCACGCAAAGAATATGCATTTCTCGCACATACACGTGCACATACTCGTTTCAACGAAATAAAAATATACGCGATATATATAAATATATACACACATGTATAATATACCTGCAGCGGTGATGGTGACCCGCGATAATTAATAACGTTTCCGTCTGTGAAAATTAGGCAGATCAGCGTGGACAAATTTCGCGTCACTAGAATATTTATCGCACGGTATCGTTTTACTTTATAAAACGCGAATTAAATCACACAATTTTCGCAAAAATAGAGTAGTAGTCGCAGAAGAATAGTAATCGACGTCGTTACTTTATATAACGTAGAATCACGATCGCGAACATCCGCGAGGAATGTCCACGTTGCTCCGCGACGAAAAACCAAGTGGAATCCATCCAGAAGCTTCGCTTACGGTGATTGTATTTCAGAAACGTAGGTGAAGGTGTGCCTATCTTTTTATGAGAGTTTAAATAAGCGAAAAATGATCGCAATATATATACATACGCGCAAACCTATTTATCTTTAGCCGGGTAACACACAAAGCAGCGAGAAACGCCACTTTTTCTTCGTGAGAAAGTGCGGCAAAGATTTTAATCTCGTTATAGGTTTAAAAAAAAAGAAACGAAAGAGACCTGAGCATATATTAAGTGAAAAAAAATAGATACCAGAACACTTCAATTATAAAGAGATGGGCGCACAACCATAGTATTTAACTGTACCTAACGTCGTCGTAGTGATTAATGCAAAAGAAGAAAAAAAGAGTAATCGTACCTATTTAAAAAAAGCAGTTCATGCATCTCTTTACGATAATAATGATAAAGGTAAAGACTAAAAAAAAAAAGAATAACTTATCGAAGCCGTCAGACTTTCAATCGCCATCAAGTATCGTCCGACACCTCGCGGCATCATATATTTTCTAGATGATCGATTCACACATGTGATTTATCAAGTATTTCCTACGAGCTGAGATAAGGGGAGAGTAAAGAGAGAATGATCCAAGGGTGATACAATATCGCGCGGACGTTACTTGTTAGGCCATCGCTTTTCTTCTTTGCGAATAAACGAACAGACGAACCAAAACAATTCACGTAAACGAATGATGAACGATATCGTATTATTTATTTATTTCTAATATTTGGTTATACGACGCCTTTACATTTATTTGGTATCACATGTTACACACGAATCCTCTTTATTTAATTAAATCTACATATCGTTATCGTTTATTTACGCTTATATTACAGGTTTCTCTTACGATCATTGAATTTGCGTATATTTTCGATATTTATTTTATATTTATTATGAAAAGACAAAATGAAGGTATCATTGTGCGCACAAGCGTGACGAATTTTTCATTACTATCGCTCTCGACTGATTTTGTAATTTCCTCTCCGTACATTCTAAAGACCGAAAAAAAAAAATAATTAGGCAGGTATCGAGACACGCAAGTCACTTTTCTCGCTCGAGAGTGACACGCTTTAAAAAAGAATCTTAAAGAGAACAAACGACGAAAGAGAACAGCTAGAATATAAATGTCGTAAGCTTGCAAGACACACCTCATATTCGTTTCCTACTATTTTTGTAATGCGACACGTAAGATGATTGTTAGCGGTGAGCAATAAAGATCGGCGCTAGATGGGAAAAGGGAGGAGAGTAAAAAGAAACGACGCGAAAAATAAAAAGAAACGAGATTTACACACAAATTGTAACATCGACTCTCTTACACGAGACTTGTCATCTCTCTTTTTCTTTTAACCGCTGTTTTTAGAGAACTCCTGTTGATTTGAGCGTCCCTTTGACGATTCGTAGAATTTAAAGATTGCTAAAATATTATACCCTATTCTGTGTAACAATTTACGAAACAAAATTGTTCGTCTTCTCATTTGTTGTACGTGTATATAGACATATGTATATCTTGATAAGAGCGTGCAGCTTGCGAGAAAGATCATGATGCTGCGTTTTGTTGATGCGTTGGTGCGACATGAAGGCAGAATTATTATATCTCAATACGTTAAAGCGAGGTATCTTACCGTTAAGCATATCTTTGCCAGCATATGTTTGCTTGTCTTTAAATCTCAGAGCGAGCGGAGAACCCAATTATCATATACGGTGGATATGCTTGACACTTAAGAACCGGTCGCGCATTGGCAAGTCGATTAATATCCTGATGAATGAATTGGCGAATCCGTTGATGAACTGCACAATTTTTCTTCCCGGTCCATATTCTAGAATTATAAATAGAAGAGTTAGTCGGTCTCTCTTTCATTCAGGATCCAAAAATATTTCCGTATTCTCTCGTCTGAACGGGATTATCATTATTATTATTCGCATCCGCCCAATTCTAATTGGGATTTTAATTGGCGCGATTTCACAATGGAATTTTCGCAGTTGCAATTTTAACTGGTTCCCATCTCTAGATGTCAACTGCTGCTATTAGAAATATATATATATAGAGAGATATTTATTAGCTTTAAATGATATTAACGAGATCGATCTTGAAAGTGCAAAGTTAGTTGGACGACGCGGACAAGTTGCGAGTGTATCGATATGTATTATTTTTCTTTAATGCATGTCGTGATTTATCACGGTATGTATTATAAGGACGAACCAGTGGCTGTGCCTCCGATGCTTAGCGACGTATTTTATTGCGTTCTTTCCTATTTCGCTAATCCTACACGAGATAGAGAGCGATTATAAGCAACTTATTAACAAGCCGCTTGTTGCTTGTCCGAACGTCCGAATTATATTGAATATGTATGTACAATGCGACGACGTGTGTACAAGAGATATATAATTTATATTTATTAAATAAGATATATATTTCTCCTGCGAAAATGGACAGATATTTCAAGTATATTCACCGAAGTACGGCGTTAAGATACGGCATTGATCTTAATTTGCGAGGAAGAATAATTGAGAAAGGAGCGAGCGAATTAACGAAGCGAAGAAGAACCGACCTGAATTATCCGTGTATGTAAATATAATCGCGAGGAGAGTGACGAGAGAAGAGAGAAAGCGAAGCAATTGACAATTTTGTGGCGTAAATAAAGAGCTATATTATTCTCATCCGAAATGCACAACATCATAGAGCCGGAAAAATGTTTGATATAGAAGTCATGTCAGTCTAATTATATTTCTTGTTATATTATATCATATTTTCCAAAAAAAACGAATTATATATATATAATTCAATAAAAAAAGAAGACACTCTCGTTTGATAATTTGCCTGCTCACATCAATTATTTCTGTGTTTTTACCTATATAATCATTACATGAAATTGAACAATGACGCGCGCTTGTGTTGTCTAGTAGATTATATATATTTTGCAAAGAAATAAGTAGTTAAAAAATTAGTATATATATATATATATAATAATGTGTTTTAATACGCTCAAAAATCATCTAAATTAATAAATTTCAATAAATTCAACGAATTAAAATTATGTACATTCTAAGCAATATCTAGACTCATCTTAAGAATTATGAATGAAGAGGAAATATTGAAAGAGAATGCTATTTTTACAGTTACCAGTTTTATGTTTTATTAAGTTTTCATTATTTACATAGATTCGTTGTAGATTCTTTTGACAAAGGTCCAGAGGAACATTGCGGGAACATCGAGACTCGCGTTTACCGTAAACCAAGAAAAAAAAATGAAAAAAAAAATTCTATCGGGCATTTCTACAAGCATTTTCGTCCCCAATGATCACTATGAACCAATGCCACAGCGCGGCCAAGAGATCACGCGTGATCCGTTCGCCGAGCGATTCCGACCCTCAACAGAAATTCCGTGGACTCTTATAGCGCTTCAAAGTTATATGTAGTACTTTTCGAGAGAAACATTGGACACCGATTCAATTGGATTCAATTTGCTATCAGCGTCAAAATCAAAGAAAAGTATGTCGTGTATAAATTCGTATCATAACATCATAAAGGATACATTTCATTTGCGCTACAAACGCTTTAAAACGTTTGATCGATCGGGATAAAAACAAATTTCTGTATTCATCGCACATTTAAAAGATATTTTTAGACCAATCGACAAAGATTTGTTGGTTTTCACGACAGAACTGGCAGTTTTATTCGACGCGCTAGGGTCCATTCGGAACAACTGTCATACATTATCGTTTTTCTCAGATAACTATTATACCACAACATTCCGCTCCTGCACGGCAACGGTTTAGCGTATTAGCGCTTTGTGAGTTAACAAGTTACGTTACACGTGTTGATTTCACTCTAAATGTAAAATTTTATGTACCCACCACCACGTTGGACCCAGTTACGCGACTGCGTTGGCAGTAAAGTTTTTTCTCGTCTTTGTGTCAATTAAAATCTAAATACGCTCCAAAATAATACATGATATCGGTATTTAGTTTGCATTTTTCTTCTATTCAGTATTAATTAAATCCGATAAATTGGATTAAATCAGAAAATGTATGAATCTATTAGAAAACAATTCGATATTCATTCTTACTTTGTAATTTTTTTATATGAATTTAATACCGACATTGGAGCAGCATCTCATTTCAATGTGACTAAATGTAAACTAATTAATATTAACATTTAAGCGTTATAAGGGATTAAAATCTGATTATACTGAGCACTTACATACGTTGTATTCATTCGATTCATATCGCATCGTAGATATGCGGGTAATCCGTATAAACTTTTTATATATAATTTCAGATTTTAATCAACTTGTATTTCTATCATTTCATTTTGATAAAATTAAATATTTTTAACATTTCTACGACGACAACAGTCCATTTATACATAGCTTCACCGGAAGCTTATAATGCACCAGCACACATCTTAGTGAATCTTAGTTGCGTCTTTTGTAATTATATTTTTTAACTTTATCATAAAATGCTATTTCCAATTATGTCTCTGCTACAGCAAATTTTTTAATTTAAAGAAAATCGAATTAATATATATGCTACGTGATCGGAAATATCGGCACTGATGTTACTTTTATTAATCATGTAAGAATTAATTACTCGCTCATGATTTGTATTTGAGAGAAACGTAAAATTGGAAATTGCATTAAGGTAAAACGCAAAAATATTGGCGTCTGAAATATCAATGATTGCACGTGGAAAAATAATGATACATTAAGATATCATTGGAGTATTTGATTGAATTATTTGAGAGTTCACGCCTAAGTGTTGACTTAAACTTAAATCTAACTAAAATAATTAAATTAAATTATCAAAACGACCGCGCAACTGGACAGACGGTGCTTTCGCATGTGTGTTGTGTGTTTAGTGCGATAGATATGTGTTAGGTAGGACAGCGTATACCGGACTAGTGTACAGTATAGTTTATTATGTGTATGTATATATATGAATATATATATACACACACACATACACATATGAAAGTGAAATAACCCTTGATAGGAATGAGTCATGTCGATGCGTTAACATACGCGATTGGAATTAAGAGTTTCGCTAAAATATACAACTCGTTACATGGACGGAATTATATTATCTCAAGCACAACGTTTTTCATCTTAGCACGATTCTTTGTGTAGTGAAGGCTAACAGATATTGCCAAAATGAAAAATTTGTTTGCAGTTCTGTTCCAGACAAATCTTAATAATGTATTCGCGTAAAAAAACTGAAAAAGAATGAGGATGTATAAATCCTCCTTCCTTTTATTATAAAGATATAAAATTACATTATCTTTTATAATATTTTTTTCAATTTTTTAATAGCATATCAAATATGCAGTTTACGTATTCAAATATTGCATCATTCTGAACTTGAATATAAAATTCTTCATTAAAGATTATCGAGATCTTGTAAAAGTTTCTCATTCGAAAGAACAGTGTAAAGATGTGTGAAAGAAAAGAGAAAAGCTCGGTATTTAGTATCTAACTATAATTAATTCCTCAGATATCTGGAAACACCGCCATTGCTAGCTAAGAATATTATATGAAACATGAAATTAAAAAGTGTACAAAGCGGGCAGTTGAGCAAGAGATTCGCGTTTCGTTTTATTACACATCGCGCACAGTGGCTTCGATTGTCGCTTCAAATCGAAAGCAACTTAGTCTAAATTAATTTTCATCGATCCGACTTATCCGCTGAAGTTTCGTGTATAGATCTATATATAGATCCCACGAAAAATCGCAGATCTTCGAATGAGGCTTTTATATCCCGCGCCGAACGAGGCGGACTTAGCTACTGTGGCTGTAGGCAGTGTTTGTGTAGGGTCCACTGTAAATGGACGATCCCGTAGTCGAGACGCTCTTATGTCGCCTCTTTGCGAGCAGCACCAAAATGGCAGCCACTACTGCCAGCATGAGTATGAGACCAGCGATGGCGATCCCGATGGCGAAGCTCCTTTGCGATATGCAAATGGTGTTTGGATCATCCATAGCCTAAGAAAAAAAACACAAACTATAGATATAAACTTGATATTCCCTAATTTTATTTATTGAAAATTTTCTTATTTAAAATTACTCAGGAATAATCAAAATACGCGAATATTGAAGTTATCGATACTTTTAATGCAACGAAAATCGATTATTATGTTCTGTTACCCTTTCTCTGAAGACGTCGTCGGTGAAATCTGACTTGGAAACTTCCGAGGCTTCGTTGACATACAGTCCGCTGTAAACCTCGATTGTGGCCGGGGTGCCGTCTATTAAACCTTCGACATTCTTCAGCTCGTTATCGTTGACAGTGTCCCTGCGTCGTCTAGCTATTGAATTGCATAGCGGCGGCTACAAATCGAGAATAAATAAATGTTAATTTTCAACGAATCTCTAGAAAATGGTCAAATTCGAATATTCTTTTTCAGAATCAAATATTACGTAATGCTTTCCGCGTATCTATTTAAGAAACATATTTATTAGATTTTAATGAGAATAGACCGGAGCAAATATTTTCAAGCAAAGTAAATATTATCAAATTACTAAAAAGGGATAAATAATAGTACTTAGAGCTAACGAGTTTAGGGATCATAATGACAATTATGTACCGTATTACTGCATCCTCCGCCATGCTTGATGCACAGTCTAACGTTGCATTGATAATACACGCTCGCCGTATACGGGAACTTGTGCGCCTGGAAGTTCACCCTGGCCTCTGTCTTGTCCTCGTTATACGTAAATTGTCCCATGATCTCGCCGTCGATCGGACAACTGCGAATAAACGTGTACATTAGATAAAAAAAGTCCTCTCATTAAAAAGAAATCGTTTTTCTTATCAAAAATTTTTTTAATATCATCAACTTCTCCGACTTACCCCTCGTCGTTTATCAGCCGCTGCTCGCCCCATCCGAGACCGTCGCGGACCAGACAATCGGAGATCTTCAAACCGAACATCTCTTGTTTGTCGATGCTAATGACCAGGGTTAAGGGATCGCCGATCTTTACGTTCTCCGCCACGTGATGCTGCGTTGGATCTCCGCTAAAAATTTTCATCGTGCATCCTGGCATCGGTGCGGTCGCCTATGTGGACAGAAATTCGCAGTCTAAATATATATTTCACGTTAATTCATTAACACTCGTTTATCCGGATGCTCGTACGAGGATATCTACTTGAAGATAAATATTAATGCGAATATTGTAAAGTTATGAGCGTTCAAATTTCCTCTATATACTGGTTTTATCTGATTATTCTCGTACCCCGATAGTACGAGGCTATCTAATGAAACGTTTTAATTGGATGGGGAAAGTTTGCCTAATAAAATTTTTTTCAGAATAGGGTACCATACACATTTTATTACCTGCAATGGTAGAGATTGCAGCATGGACACGTGGGTCTGATCGTTCGTTACGACTTTGTCGCGCGTCTGGTATCTACATCTCACGTGGAAACCTCTGCCCTGGTTCGTGACCAGCTTCAGGTGTGGCTGCACCACGATGGTGTTGAAGTACTCGATACCACCGTCGTCCTGCGAAACAAAGGCAACAACGGAATCGTGAGGGTTCTGGTTCTAAAAATTCCTACACAAAGATCACGAATCAAAATGATATAAATATGATTTCTCTCTCTATACCTGCAATGACACGTTTATATAATTGCGATCGATTATAATTGTTGGGGATATTTTATTTAAAAGAATTCGCGAATCTCCACTTGAGAAAAACGTTCGAAACACCAGATCAAGAGATGTGAGAACCGGCCATTGTTCGACCGATCGTTGCGTATCCGTGTTTCGGTGCCGCGAGTGTCGCAATCTATACGAATGGGGGTCTGCGTTTTACTATCTTTTCAAGGAGCGTATAATAATACGCGGTCACGTTTCTCTTCTGGCCACTTTCAATGTTGCAGCAGCAGCGGCAGCCGTCGCCTGTCCTTGCACCCCGCCAGCAAAAACCGGACCGCTGCTCCTTCTCTCCTCTCTCGTCGATTCCGTCTCGCTCGTCCGAGAGATATCCAGAAAGGGAATACCTACATGTAATTTACATTCTCGCTGTTCCCTTGTGGACCTTATACCGTCGCCATTGTGCTCTTTCTTCGGATCTCCTTTACCGAGCACGGAGGTCCGACTCTCCTCGAGAAACTAGATGTACTCTTCTTTGTTTTTGATCGATCTTTTTGCTACGAGCGATCTCTAAAAACTGCGTCTTCTTTCGCGATGACTAAACGTTATATTATTTCTCAATCTCGTATGAAAATCTTTCTCTCAATTAATTATTTTCGACGTTATCTAATGTTTCATCATGATATCTCTTTTTGCGAAGGATATATTTTGTTTCCGACATCTGAATTTGTCATTTAAAAAATCTTATTTAATTAGAGAGTTTCCGTTTAATTTGTGATACTCTTCTGCATTTCCTCATATATCCTTTAGGTAGGTATTTAAGTTCCTTCGCGTACAAGTCCTTCTTCAGATATCAGCGATCAGATTTCAGTAGTTGTCTGTACTGGCAGACAACCGTCATTAATGCTGACGGTGATCTCTAATGAGGGTAGTAATCCGTAATCGAACAGTTTCCTGCCAGTTCCAGCGGACAATGAATGTAATCAAATGGATAATCATCGTCCTTAAAGACCGTTCGTCCTTGACGAGAATTGAAAGGAAGTCTCGAACTTGCTTAGCCTTGGAAGTTGGGGCACACACAAATTATTCAGTAGTATGTGATGGCACGATAAAATTAATTTTCCACTTGGCATTATATGCCACTTCCATATGCACGTGTAATGCATAATTCGATGTTATTATATAAAATATGGACAGTATATATAAATCGCCGATGTTATATATTTGCATATAAAATTGACGCTCACGTCGCGCGTTTAACTTACTTTGGCGAAATTTACGAGCGAATATTACAATCATCAGGCGTCGTTCATATTACATATGGAATGCTGCGTCACAAATTTATTTCTTATTTATTAATTTTTAATATATACACTTAATATATACACGCAGAGAATTTTCTCTTAGAAGTTACTCTGAAAATCATGCTAATCGTAAGACAATATGATACTGGAAGAATTTTATGAGTTTCTCTGATTAAAATATTTACCACAATAAAAAGTATTAATATGTACATAGTAAAATTAATCACATATATTTTATATCTTATTGTGATTTGTAATAGATATTAATATTTTACAATATTATATTGTGCCACGATTACCATGATTTTCAGGATAAATTCTGAGAGAAAATTCTCTGTGTATATATTTTAAAATAAATAATCTTGACGTAGTACTCTATGTAATATCATTATTTCTATAATACAATATAATAAAGAAAGAAAAATCATATATTTATGTATTACTAATATAAAAGATGCGCAAAAATATATACTGAATATTAATAACAAATATAAAGTCACCGAAAAATTTAGCAAAATAGAAAATATAAATGTTCTACTGTCTACAAATATTAAAGCAACATTGTTGAAATCAATAATTTGTTTAATATAACTTTTAATAATAACAGTGTTCTCTTCACTGCGTATCGTCTTCTTCGTAAAAAATTATTTCAACAATATATTGAACTGATTTTTCGATTAGGGATAACAGTATTGAATAAATTAGAGTTCCGTAATCTCTCCCGCGGCAATCTAGCGAGGGATCGAGCGAACGGGCCGATGTTGCGGATTCCTAGACGAGCACCGGGTATATCGAGCAGGCAACGACCTTCGGCGGAGCCTCTCAGCGTTCGACCTCAGCAAGGATACTCGCAATCTGCGGTGCATCGGCCCGAGAGAGCCCGGAGAAACGTTGGATCGTCGACTTTACGTTTCACACACCCACCTAGCAACCGGACGAGCGGGGATCTCCGCCGGCTTTATTGCGATGTATAAAGAGAAGAACACGCAAGGCGGGGCCCGGTGGCCCCCGATTACGGTCCTGTGACCGGTCCCTTTTTTTTCCTTTCCATCGCATACCACTATACACACCGATAGCAGGACACTGTCACGCGATACGGATTCGAGCAGCAAAAGGATGGACACTTTTAGCATCCTGTTCTCTCCTTAGCTCTTGCCTATATTCTGGACCACCCTCGTAGTCGCGAGTTTACGTATTTTTTAGACCGATCCCAGAAACGCGATTCTCTTCTCCAAAAAATATTGTCCTCTTAGTCTCGTGCATGAGCACTCATTTTTAAATGTATTTTTTTTTAAGAATTTGTCAAATTTTTATTAAATGTTGATTACCGATTATTTTTACTATTTGTTATTCAATTTAATTTCAGCTTGTTTTTATTATTTCGACTAAGAACGGAATTCTCTTTGAGAGATTCCACCCGTTGCAGAAAAGGTCGCTTGTGCTTATCCGATCGTTAGGTTGTCTACGAACCATGTGATTTTCTCCAGGTATTTCAGCTTCAAGGAATTTTCATTTCAATTCATTTACATTCGCGTACGCGCCTATACTCTTCCTGGATCGTATATAAAGATATTTAAGATCTCGAGATAGCTTTCCTCCCTTCACCCTTCCCTTTCCTACCCCCTCTGGGTGGTGGAGCATACCTCCGGTATTTTTGATACTAAATGCCTGTCCGACGTATCCTCGGCGAAGATGCGATAAATTGCTTTTCCTCTGTTAATTGCGCGATACACGACGCTCGTTGTAAGATCTTTTATCTCGATAGCTTGCGTATCCTTCAAACATACACATTCTTGAACACGCGTGTACTCGTGTAAAATTAATTATCTCTCCAATCGCTACCAATTGCTTTCAATAATTGTCGCGAAAGAATCGTTTCATGCTGGATTTCTACACGGGTCGATGACCTTTCAGCAACTCCCGATCGAGTCGAATCGCGTTAAAAATCGGTGACTATTAATCGCGTCGCTTGTCGGTCACCGAACGGTTCTTCTCAATTAACCCGATGTTATATGATATTAAGTATATTTATCAGCGTTTATTCCTCATCGGTGTCGAAGAAATTGTAAGATTCAAAATATACCCGGACACCTAAAGTACAGTATACGATATATACGCGTCAAAGCGTACGTCTTGCGCACAAATACGTACGCTTTGTGTATGCAATTTACAGACACCCCTTTGAGCTGTATCCATTACTGTGTGTACATATCCATCTTCTTGACGATCGACGATCGATGAACACGCACGTTTCGCGCGTGAATCAGCGTCTCTCCTCAAGAGAGATACCTCATGTCAGGACCTTACGTGCGGAGTGTGTTTTTGTTGCGTCGCATCCTTTGCCCTCTGGCGCGATTCATCTCGAGCTTACCTAATATTATTATATATATGTGTATTTTGAAAGACGATGAAAAGTTCGCGGAAAGTTCTGCGCCCGATCGAGAATCCTTCATCTCACAGGTTCAAAATTAGTGTGTAAGACATTTAAAAAATCTTGACGATATCTTTCACAAATCTTATGATAGGATATCCAAAAGACATCTTAAAAACATCTTAAAGATGTCTTATGTTAATTTTGGACATGTGCTGTCTGAGCACGTGAGCGAAACGTCAAAGATATGACAAGGAAGAAGGGAAGATACACGCATGGAGAGAATTTTCTCTTAAAATGTACTCTGAAAATCATGATACTCGCATAAAAGAATTTTATGAGTTCCTCTGATTAATACTTACCACAATAAAGAATTAAAAAATATGTAAATATAAATACGTACATAGTAAAATTAATCAAACATATTTTATATCTTATGGTAGATATTAATTTTTTCTTATGGTAAATAACTCTTATAAAATTCTTCCAATACCATATTTGATCTCATGATATGATTATCATGATTTTCAGGGTTAATTCTAAGAGAAAATTCTCTCTGTGCGAATAAAAAAAACGAGAAATGTGGATCCAGAGAAGGACGTGCGCAAACGTCATACATATGCACTCGAGCGACATGAGAGTGCATAGAAGCGAAGATCACTCTAATGCCAGGTATTACTTGACGCCTACCTGACTGCGAGTCTGACGCCATTATCAGCGCGCGGCAGTCTCTTTATCGTTTCGAACTTCAATAATCTGGGAAGAAGCGCGGAATAGCCATACTAATGGTAATATCGCGAGTGTAATCGGCAAAAAGGATGGCGATCATCGGCGGTTTTTTTTCCTTGCACGGTGCCGAATGAGTCGTTAGTCTTCGAGTAGCAGTATCATCTTCTCTCGTCGTTAATATCTCGTTAACAGCTCGAGATCCCTCGAGCGATCTATCGACTATAACGAGACATTTTCATGCGCGTTTCTCATCGTGAATTTTTTCTGAAGTAACGAAGTCAATCACAAAACCGACATTAATTCCTGGATCTCGATTTTTACGGGATATCTTCGAGAATGCATTTTTTTCAATTGACTGTATTTTTTATTTTTTTCTTCTCTCTACAGTGGCTAAACCTGATTACGTAGAGCGATCATTATTGTCTATACCGCGACCTGCGGGTTGAACATTCGACCTGCATGAGAGTGGATCTGCTTAAAGGCTCGAGAGGGAGGCAGTACTT